GTGAAATCGGACTGACGACACTGGAGACAGGAGGGTCAGGGAAGACATGATAACGACATACAAAATACTGCTTGGAATAGATAAGGTGGACAGAGACAGGATGTTCCAGAGAGGGGACACAGAAACAAGGGGTCACAATTGGAAGCTAAAGACTCAGACGAGTCACAGGGACGTTAGGAAGTTTTTCTTCAGTCATAGAGTCGTCAGGAAGTGGAATAGCCTAGAAAGTGATGTAGTGGAGGCAGGAACCGTACATAGCTTTAAGACGAGGTATGACAATGCTTAGGAAGCAGAGAGAGAGGACCTAGTAGCGATCAGTGAAGAGGTGAGTGCACACTCATGTATGCACACACACACACACACACTCACACACACATACACACTCACACACACACACACACACACACACACACACACACACACACACACACACACACACGTGGACAAAGACAGGATGTTCCAGAGATGGGACACAGCAACAAGGGGATGTTAGGAAGTATTTCTTCAGCCACAGAGTAGCCAGGAAGTGGAATAGTTTGGGAAGCGAGGTAGTGGAGGCAGGATCCATACATAGCTTTAAGCAGAGGTATGATAAAGCTAACGGTTCAGGGAGAGTGACCTAGTAGCGACCAGTGAAGAGGCGGGGCCAGGAGCTGAGTCTCGACCTTTGCAACTACAATTAGGTGAGTACAATTAGGTGAGTACACACACACACACACACAGACACACACAAACACATAGTATCTAAAGTCATGAAGAAGATTATCAGGAGGAGAGTCGTGGAGTACCTGGAGTGGCACAAGATTATGAACGACAGCCAGCACGGATTCATGGAATGCAAATCCTGTGTCACAAACCTACTAGAGTTTTATGACAAGGTAACTGAAGTAAGACATGAGAGGGAGGGGTGGGTTGATTGCATTTTCCTGGACTGCAGGAAGACCTTCGACACAGTTCCTCATAAGAGATTAGTACAGAAGCTAGAGGATTAGGCACGTATAACAGGAAGGGAACTGCAATGGATCAGAGAATACCTAACAGGGAGGCAATAGCAAGTCAAGGAACGTGGTGAGGTATCACAGTGGGCGCCTGTGACGAGCGGGGTCCCAAAGGGGTCAGTCCTGGGACCAGTGCTATTCTTGGTATATGTAAATGACATGACGGAAGGGATAGACTCAGAAGTGTCCCTGTTTGCTGATGATGCGAAGTTAATGGGGAGAATTAAATCAGATGCGGATCAAACAGGTCTACAAAGAGACCAGGACACGCTGGATGCGTGGTCCAGCAACTGACCCCTAGAATTTAACCCCGCCAAGTGCAAAGTCATGAAGATCGGAGAAGGGCAAAGAGGACCGCAGACAGAGTATAGGCTAGGAGGCCAAAGACTGCAAACCTCACTCAAGGAGAAAGATCTAGGGGTGAGTATAATACCGAGTACGTCGCCAGAAGGACACATTAACCAGATAACTTCTGCGGCATATGGGCGCCTGGCAAACCTGAGAATAGCGTTCCGATACCTCAGTAAGGAATCGTTCAAGACTCTATACACTGTGTACGTCAGGCTCATACTGGAGTACGCAGCGCCAGTTTGGAACCCATACCTGGTCAAGCACGTTTAGAAATTAAAGAAAGGGCTTGCAACAAGGCTAGTTCCGGAGCTCGGGGTAATGTCCTACGAAGAAAGGTTAAGGGAAATCGGTCTGACGACACTGGAGGACAGTAGGGTCAGGGGTGACATGATAACGACATACAAAATACTGCGTGGAATAGATAAAGTGGACAGAGACAGGATGTTCCAGAGATGGGACAAAGAAACAAGAGGTCACAATTGGAAGCTGAAGACTCAGATGAATGAAAGGGATATTAGGAAGTATTTCTTCCGCCACAGAGTTGTTAGGAAGTGGAATAGGCTGGCAAGCGATGTAGTGCAGGCAGGAACCATACATAGTTTTAAGACGAGGTATGATAAAGCTCATGGAGCATGGAGACGGAGGACCCATTAGCTATCAGTGAAGAGGCGGGCCAGGAGCTGACTCTTGACCCCTGCAACCACAATTAGGTGAGTACACACACACACACACACTCACACACTCACACACACACACACACACACACACACAGACACCCACACACACCCACACACACACACACCTGGTTAAGCACGTCAAGAAATTAGAGAAAGTGTAAAGGTTTGCGACAAGGCTATTTCCAGAGCTAAGGGGAATGTTCTACAAAGAAAGGTTAAGGGAAATCGGTCTGACGACACTGGAGGACAGGAGGGCCAGCGGTGTTATGATAACGACATACAAAATACTGCGTGGAATAGACAAGGTGGACAGAGACAGGATGTTCCAGAGAGGGGACACAGAAACAAGAGGTCATACTTGGAAGTTGAAAACTCAGATGAGTCAAAGGGATGTTAGGAAGTATTTCTTCAGTCATAGATGTTGGTGAGGGGTTCTTGATTTAGGGAATTGGATCTGTGCTCCAGTTCCCCGAATTAAGCCTGAATGCATTCCACATCCTTCCCCCCAGGCGCTGTATAATCCTCCGGGTTTAGCGCTTCCCCCTTGATTATAATAATAATAATAATTCAGTCATAGATTCGTCAGGAAGTGGAATAGCCTAGCAAGTGAGGTAGTGGAGGCAGGAACCATACATAGCTTTAAGACGAGGTATGATGAAGTTCATGGAACATGGAGAGCGAGGACCTAGCAGCGTTCAGTGAATAGGCAAGGCCAAAAGCTGAGTCTCGACCCCTGCAACCACAATTAGGTGAGTACACACACACACACACACACACACACATAAACACACGCACACACACACATACACACACATACACACACATACACACACACACAAGGTAACAGAAGTAAGACACGAGAGAGAGGGTTGGGTAGATTGCGTTTTCCTAGACTGCAGGAAGGCCTTTGACACAGTTCCCCACAAGAGATTAGTGCAGAAGCTGGAGGATCAGGCACACATAAAAGGAAGGGCACTGCAATGGATAAGGGAATACCTGACAGGGAGGCAGCAACGAGTCATGGTACGTGAAGAGGTATCACAGTGGGCGCCTGTTACGAGCGGGGTCCCACAGGGGTCAGTTCTAGGACCAGTGCTATTTTTGATATATGTGAACGACATGATGGAAGGAATAGACTCTGAAGTGTCCCTGTTCGCAGATGACGTGAAGTTGATGAGAAGAATTAAATCGGACGAGGATGAGGCAGGACTGCAAAGAGACCTGGAGAGGCTGGACATGTGGTCCAGTAACTGGCTCCTCGAATTCAATCCAGCCAAATGCAAAGTCATGAAGATTGGGGAGGGGCAAAGAAGACCGCAGACAGAATATAGGCTAGGTGGACAAAGACTACAGACCTCACTCAGGGAGAAAGACCTTGGGGTGACCATAACACCGAGTACATCACCGGAGGCACACATCAACCAAATAACCGCTGCAGCATACGGGCGCCTGGCAAACCTGAGAATAGCGTTCCGATACCTCAATAAGGAATCGTTCAAGACACTGTACACTGTGTATGTTAGGCCCATACTGGAGTATGCAGCACCAGTCTGGAACCCACACCTGGTCAAGCACGTCAAGAAGTTAGAGAAAGTACAAAGGTTTGCAACAAGGCTAGTCCCAGAGCTCAAGGGAATGTCGTACGAGGAAAGGTTAAGGGAAATCGGACTGACGACACTGGAGGACAGAAGGGTCAGGGGAGACATGATAACGACATACAAGATACTGCGGGGAATAGACAAGGTGGACAGAGATAGGATGTTCCAGAGAGGGGACACAGGGACAAGGGGTCACAACTGGAAGCTGAAGACTCAGACGAGTCACAGGGACGTTAGGAAGTATTTCTTCAGTCATAGAGTTGTCAGCAAGTGGAATAGCCTAGCAAGTGAAGTAGTGGAGGCAGGAACCATACATAGTTTTAAGAAGAGGTATGACAAAGCTCAGGAAGCAGAGAGAGAGAGGATCCAGTAGCGATCAGTGAAGAGGCGGGGCCAGGAGCTGAGTCTCGACCCCTGCAACCACAATTAGGTGAGTACAATTAGGTGAGTACACACATGGATGCACGCACGCACTCAGTTTTTCCACATGCTCGCGCACGCGCGTGTACAAACACCTGGGATAGGCAGGTGGTGATAGCAGTAATGTACAATCCTCCACTAAACACCAAGAGACCAGACAAGAATATGTTGTAAAGAACGGAACAATGGTGGATACATTAGCTGAGGTGGCCAGAAGGACAAAGAAAGGCTGCAAATTAATTTTTACACACTGAAAGATTGGTCAAATAGTTGGTTGCTTGAATACAACCCCAGCAAGTCAAGGTTATAAAAATTGGGAAAGGGGCAAGAAGACCAGAAACTGAACCTGGACTTGGGGTGCAAAGGTTGTAGACCTTACTCAAGCATGTCGCCAGCGACATGTTATAAAATACTCTGCAAATCTTAGAGTGGCCTTCATGAATCTCAACAAAGTATCATTCACGGCCCTATATATGACATGTAACAAGTCCGTAGCGCAATACGTAACACCAAAATTGAACCCTCACCTGTTAATGCACGTTAATACGAAAGTGTAGAAATAGTGGAACCAGGGCTCAGTCTTAGCCTTATGAGCCCTGGCTCCACTATTTCTGCACTTTCGTATTAACGTGCATTAACAGGCGAGGGTTCAATTAAATCTGGCAAAAGGCAAGTTATGTTCAGGAGCCAGGTATAAGGACCTCATATCGAGAGTGTGGTAAGATTAGGTCAGTTTAGGTGACGATGGATAACAATGAATGAGAATAAGTCTGTTGATATGAGCGATCAAACACACCCAATAATGTGATCTTTCGTGAGGAGCTGAGAGGTCTGGCCAGAAGCCAAGACTCGACCCCCACAAACAGAATTAGTGTTCTATTAGGCGAGGTTCTCTACCAAGCAGGCCACATCACAGTTCATGATGTCATCCGTCAAACACACTGATACAGACTAACCTGGAAGGCAGTTCGGACGCTTTACTCTTTGATTTGTGTTTAGTGGTGATGGTGCGAGCGTGGGCAGCCCCGACGGTGCGAGCGTGGGCAGCCCCAGTGTTGCAGGTGTGGGCAAATCCCATGCTGCGGGCACGAACAGGAAAAAGAAGTGAGAAAGTCAAAGTTCTCATTTTATATACAATTATCTAGGAATTATATATAATTATAGTGATGTTTTGAAAGAGGGTTGGCGAAGCCCAGTGCGTCCTGAGGAACGTTGTACTTGCTTCAGTAGTTTCTTGTCACTGACAGAGGAATCCCTGCAGGGTAAGCACCTTTAGTACCCACGAGCGCCCCTTGACCCTGAAAGATACCATCACTGTAGTCCCCCACTCGTAGACTTTTTCCCTTCACTCAAAGATAAGATAGTGACTTAACATGATCAGAAAGATAACGTAATTAATATATAATCTAGTGTGACTAAGCAGAAATTTTGGTTTACAGATCAATAATTTAGTCATATAAAATATTGACGGGTTTTAGATCGCAAGAAAATCCGCATTATAAGTTATGTGTTAAAACAAAGAGTAATGTTTCACGAAGATGACGATATAGTTTAATACTTATGTGCTATTGCTTTTAGCTGAATTAAAGTACAAAAAATAAGAGAAATGTTTGAATACTCTCTTATCAATAGTTGGTTTGGCTTGTTAAGTTTATATACAATCGATTGTACGTGAGTCATGAAAGCTTCATGTACATCACCAGTCTAGCTTAGTGAGAGCCACAAAGGTGAATCAATCACATAGTCTTTATAAAAACCACCAAGACGACCAGCAGCCAATGACAGCCTCTGACTCTCATCTTTTTGACTCACAATCAAAATGATTTTGTTTATATTTGCTCAAGAACATTTAAAAAGAACAGAGCAAAATACTATGACTTGGAGGATGAATAAATCTGCAGTGGAGGGATGGTGGGTAGGTGTCGTTTCCAGGAAAGGCTGGAGGGAGGGGATAAAAAAATTGGTTTTGTCTGCAAGGGATTTCAATATGTTCACTCATCAGTAAAATGGGTACCTGGGTGTTAGTCGACCGATATGGGTCGCATCCTGGGACAAAATTGAAGGAGGGGTGTTAATGTTGCATTTTTATAACTGTAGTGTGAGCATGCCTCTGGCAAGACAGTGATGGAGTGAATGATGATGAAAGTTTTTCTTTCTCGTGCCACCCTGCCTTGGTGGGAAACGGCCGATGTGTTAATAATATATATATATATATACATATACATACCTGGAGAGAGTTCCGGGGGTCAACGCCCCCGCGGCCCGGTCTGTGACCAGGCCTCCTTAGGTCAGTGTCCCAGGATGCGACCCACACCAGTCGACTAACACCCAGGTACCCATTTTACTGATGGGGAACATAGACAACAGGTGGAAAGAAACACGTCCAATGTTTCTACTCTGGCTGGGAATCGAACCCAGGCCCTCGCCGTGTGAAGCGAGAGCGTTAACCACCAGGCCACCAGAGCCTACACATATATATATATATATATATATATATATATATATATATATAAATATATATATATATATATATATTATATATATATATATATAATATATATATATATATATATATATATATATATATATATATATATATATATATATATATATATATATATATATATATATATATATATATATGTATATATATATATATAATATATATATATATATATATATATATATATATATATATATATATATATATATATATATATATATATACAGAAAGATGGACCGCAGCCTGTAAATTAAAAGTCCGACGCTCTACCGTCTCCATCGCCGGGCTTACAAGTAGAAGGAATCGGAACTAGTACTTACTGTACAATATTCTCTCAGAGGCACCATCTGTAACTGTCACTGACAGTTGTTTATTATATAGACTATATGGCCCTGAGGAAGGCAAGAATAGATTTCCTGTTACAGCTTCTGGGCTGTAGGAAAGAGTTCAGCTGGGTTGCAGATCCTTCCTCTTGTAAGCCTGGTGGTGGAGACGGTAGAACGTTTGACTGTCACTTTACAGTCCATGGTTCGCGCCCCCGTCCATCTTTATGTTTATTCACTGACAGTTGCTTATTACCACTTAATCTGAAAGGTTTCCTTTCCCCGTGGCTTGTCTTGCATTGTTAAGATCGGTTGTCTACGACTGTATTAGATTGAACCTGAATGCCTCTCAGGCACTTTGTGACCTCTACGGGTTTAGTGCTTCCCAGTGAATAAAATAAAATATATATTCATGAAGGAGGGGAAGGTACCTAAGCATTGTCATAGAGCATGTATAATTCCTTTACATAAGGGTAAAAGGTGAAAAGAAAGAGTATAAGAATTATGGTCAAAGTGTGCTGTGGAATTGTTACTGAAAGTCCAATGGGTGAAATAAGAAGCAGGATTATTAAGAAATAAAGAGGATTTAGGAAGGGTATGTGTGTGTAGACCAAGTGTTTACACTGAAGCACATAAGTAAAGAGCTATCTGTCGCATTTATAGATATAAAAACGGCTTATGAGAGGGTGTGTAGGGAGGCAATGTGGCAGATATTGCAAATATATGGAATAGGAAGTAGGTTACTGAAAGTAGTAAAACATTTTATGCAGAATAAGGGTCATGATGTATAGGAGAAAAATGGAATATTTTATAGAAAAAGTAGGTATTACAGGGGTGTACAATGGCACTATGGTTATTTAAAATATTTATAGATGAGGCTGTAAAATAATTGAATTCTAGGGTGGCAAGGAGATGTGTGGAATTATAAGATAATGAAACTGGTAAGAAGACGGAGTTCCCAGAGTTGCTGATGACACATTCTGTTGGGAGATAGCAAAGACCTGGCAACGTCGGCAGAGTAGGAAGATGTATAATGAATAAAAATAAACACAGAAAAGAGAAAAGTGACGAGATAGACATAAAAACAGAGTAAAGATTAGATATTTGGAGAGAGGGCGCATGGAAGTAGTTACTACACTGTATATAGATTTTCCCCAGTGGACATACTGGCAGACGGGTGTGTGAAAGGCGACGTAAACTATAGTTTAGACGATAGTAGAAAGGTAGGTGGAGTGTTGAGACATCTGTAGAAAGTTATTAATTTATAGAGGAAAAAATGAGAATGTGTCAGATTATAGTGGTAACTAAGTTTTTAAATAGGTGCGAAGTGTGGACTTTAAACACTGCAGCAAGGAGTGAATAATTTACACAAATTCAGAACAAAGAAATTAAGATATTGAGAGGGAATATATGATAGCGATAACTGAGAGGGCGGAGGAGAGTTTGCCGAGGTGGTCTGGCATTTAGAGAGGAAAAAGCTGATAGGATAGGGAAGGAGTAAGGGTCGCCTTGGAAAGTAGCTTTTTAGTGGCAGAGGCTAAGTTGGCAGCTTGCTGCACTCGTGGAGAGCTCACCACCTTAAGTTCGAATCCTTTTGGCTGCAGTATTTCTTTGCATACAGTACTTTCGCTTGTTTCTGCGAGGGGCACTGTATCACCTATTTTTCTTTTCATGAGACATAACCGATGTTTTTTTTACCAAAATATTACCGAACTGGATTCAATAAATAATAAAGCAATTTAGCTGAATAAAACTGAATTATTATTAATACTCAACTCAACAGAAGCTGGAATTTTATTATCTTACCAGTACTGATTGACACGAGACTTATTCTTGCATCTTAGACTTCATAAAAAGGATTGAGAGGTCTCTTATCTATGCGATGTGTTGACTTTGGACCAACCAGTGCTGGGAGGTGAGTCTACAGTCATGGGAGGCGAGTCCAGAGTCTCAGTTGTAACAAAATATACTCCCACCTAATCATTGTTACCAATACAATATACATATCCCATCATAGTTACCAAGGCAATACACCCACCCCATCATAGCTACCAAGGCAATACACTCATCCCATCATTGTTACCAACACAATACACCCCCCATCATAGTTACCAACGCAATTCACTTATCCCATCATAGTTACAAACACAATACACCCACAGAATCATTGTTACCAATATAATACACCTACCTCATTGTTGTTATCAAAACAATGCATCCATCCTGTCATTGTTACCAACATCATACACCCACCTCATCATTGTTGCCAACAACATACACCCACCACGTCAATGTTACCAAAAAATACAACCAGCTCATCATTGTTACCAGCATCTTACACAAACTCCATCATTTTACCAGCATCTTACACCCACCCTATCATTGTTACCAGCATCTTACGCCCATCCCATCATTGCTATCAGCATCTTACACGTACCCTATCATTGTTACCAGCATCTTACACAAACTCCATCATTGTTACCAGCATCTTACAACCACCCTATCATTGTTACCAGCATCTTACACCCACCACATCATTGTTACCAGCATCTTACACCCACCCTATCATTGTTACCAGCATCTTACAACCACCCTATCATTGTTACCAGCATCTTACACCCACCCTATCATTGTTACCAGAATCTTACACCCACCCCATCATTTTACCAGCATCTTACACCCACCCTATCATTGTTAACAGCATCTTACGCCCATCCCATCATTGCTATCAGCATCTTACACGTACCCTATCATTGTTACCAGCATCTTACACAAACTCCATCATTGTTACCATTATCTTACACCCACACCATCATTCTTACCAGCATCTTACACCCACCCTATCATTGTTACCAGCATCTTACACCAATCTCATCATTGCTACCATCATTTTACACACACCCCGTGATTATTACCAGCACCTTACACCCACACCCATCATTGTTACCACCATCTTACACCCACCCTATCATTGTTACCAGCATCTTACACCCATCCTATCATTGTTAACAGCATCTTACACCCACCCTATCATTGTTACTAGCATCTTACACCCACCCCATCATTGTAACCAGCATCTAATACCCACCCTATCATTGTTACTAGCATCTTACACTATCATATCATTGTTACCAGCACCTTACACCCACCCTATTATTTTTACCAGCATCTTACACCCACCCTATCATTGTTACTAGCATCTTACACCCACCCTATTATTGTTACCAGCATCTTACACCCACCCTATCATTGTTACTAGCATCTTACACCCACCCCATCATTGTAACCAGCATCTATTACCCACCCTATCATTGTTACTAGCATCTTACACTATCATATCATTGTTACTAGCATCTTACACCCACGCAATTATTGTTACCAGCATCTTAGGCCCACCCCATCATTGTTACCAGCATCTTACACCCACTCTATC